CTGGGGATCGAGCCCACAACCTGGGCATATGCCCTGACTGGGAATTGAACTGTGACGTCCTGGTTCATAGGTCAACACTCAACCACTAATCCATGTTGGCTGGGCTCAGTATTTTTTCTAATTGCCATGGCTATATTGTATTTATTACTTGCATTGATTAGCTAGTTAGGTTATTCAAGGTGGCTGAGGTGTAACTAGAAGATATTTGGTGATACAGAGAACAACAAAGTTTAAAAAAATATTTAGAAGTTAGTATGCAATGGTGAAGTGCAGGATGAATCAGGCCCAGAACTATAAGGCTTTTATTTGTAAAACAAAGCCAGTGCAATCTGTGCTGAAAAAAAATGATTAAATATGCTGAGATGACCTAGCAACTTTCCTTTATTGGCTGCTGTGACCATTTGGCATTTTCAGTGGCCTCTGATGTTTGGCTTTCTGCTATGTTGCTGTGGTAGGCAAGGGGTTATAGTAAAATGATTAACCACTGGTGAAGCAGGCGTATTGATCAGTGAGAAAAGACTGAACCAGTGTGTAAGGATTGGGGGGCTGTTCCAAATGGGGTTTTTGTTTATTTTATCCCAGGAAAAAAGTTTTAGATAAAAAGCCTTTTTTTCTCTTGTGGTTTTGGTCTCACATGTCCTTCCAGTAACACTACTGGGGGAGCTATCATTTTCCACAAAAATAAATGGCCGGTGATCACTCCCTTTCTGCATAGCAATGTCCACATTCATAAAAAAGGATTAGCATCCTGAATATATATAAAAAAACCCTTATAATTCTACATAAAATAAAAAACCCTATTTACACACACACCAAGAAATACAGTAAGTATAAGAAAAAGTTTTACCTTACTAAAGAGCAAAGAAAGGCAAATTTAAAAAATACCTGTATTTCACTTGTCTAACATCTGTGAAGTGGCTAACCTGTGTCAGGTATGGTCCTTTTATCTTATTTAATGCAAAAAAAAAGTCCTGTAAGGTCGGCACTATTACAACGTCCATTTCATAGACAGGGAATCGGAGGTCAGAGAGGTTAATATGCCTGAGGAAACAAAGTGAATAAGTGGTATTAAGCAAAATGCTATTTTACCTTTTGAATTTGCAAAGATTAAATGATTGTATGAAAACGAAAAATATGCCTGCTTTTCACCCAGCAATTTCACTACAAAATTTATTCTAGGGAGATAATTAGGTAAGTGCACAAAGAACTTTTATAAAGATGTTTTAGTGCTGTATTATTTATAACAGCAAAAAATTGGAAACAACCTTAATGTTCTTCAAAAGAGTTTGGCTAAATAGGTAAAGACGTATCCATACAGTGTAAACCCAAGCAGCACTTAAGAATGAGGTAGATCAATATGATTTGGCTCAGAAACGTGTGGCCTAGCTATTTTGTTCAGTGGGAGAAAAAAGGCAGGTTACAAAATAGCATGTAAACCCTGACTCTATTTTTATAAAAAAATAATTATATTTGTTAAGCACAGAAAAGTGCCAGAATGTATTTTCTGTGGATATAGTGTGTGTGTGTGTGTGTGTGTGTGTGTGTGTGTGTGTGAATGGAGGCAGGAGGAAAAGGGTTTTGGATTATAGCAGAGCCCATCAGTTTATACTCTGCATTATTTGACTATTCTTTTTTGATGTAACTATTTGAAGCACACACACACACACAAAAGCAATAAATATTGTCACATGCTGAAAGTGACAAGCCAGAACAAATGCACAAATACTGCAGGAACACTGCCGGAGCAGGTGAAAGGAATTCAGAGAAGGCAAATATAGGAGAAAGATACAAGACTTAATACTTAGAGTGGGTTTGTACAGAACAAAGACCGTGAGAGGCAGAGGAAAGGCAGATGGGAGGGAGAAGGGGAAAGGAGAGCGAAGTGGAAGAGCAGCAAAGCGGGGTAAGGACAGGTTGGAGAAACAGTAGAGCATCTGCAATGAGGGTCAGCAAAGCCTGAGTGTTAGTTGAGAAGGTTTAACCTGGGGCTTTGGTGAGAACGAGCTAGTGCAGCTGCGGAGAGTTAAGACGGTTAGAGCGTGGGCTCTGGAGTGGAGAGTACAGTTAATGCTCACTACACAACCATGTGTTCCCTGTGGGCCCCAGCCCTTCTTGCAGTCAGGTTGGGGTCATGTGACTTATTCTTGTCACGAGATGCTTGAGAGAAAGACTTAGGTACTGCAATGCCTCTATTGCTCTCTTGCCTGGATGCAGAAATAGTTGCCTGTGTTCCATGACGACCTTATAACAAGAAGTCATCAATATCAGTGGCCACCTATGGGCAGTGGCCAGGATGTAATTGAGAAATAAACTTTGGTTGTTTTAAGACACTGCAATGTGAGGGTTGTCTGTTATTGCAGCTAGAGTCGCCTGCTCTAATATGCTTTGTCATTTATTAGCTGTCGAGATTCCGACAGATTATTTTACTCTCTGAACATTAATGATTTCTCCTATAAATGGAAAAAATAATAGTACCTGTGTCACAAGGCTACTGGAGGATCAAGTGGGAAAGGGTACAGTGTTAGGAACAAAGTATTCAATAGGTGTTAGCTGTTCTTGCTGTTATCATTATCATTTACAGCAGGATTGCACAACAGTGAGCTAACGCCTTGCCCTTGCCTTATTAAAAAGCCAGGGAAATGTCAGTCGATGACGGCAGGGCTGAGCCAAGGAGATATTGTGGGTCATACTAACAGAGGTTGTGGAACCCAGACGTGTGAATGAAGAGCATTGAAGATACAGACCCAAGTATCTGGCTAGTGAACTGCCAACTCCCCGTCACTGGAAGCATTGGTTGCTGAAAGAGAGCACTCTTGGGTGGAGGTTAGCTTATAGAGATGGGCTAGTTAGGAGTAGCCCCATATCTGTAAAAGTGCTTACTAAACTCCCATCATAATGGAACAGGTTGTGCTAATAGAATTCTTTTTCCAGTATCTCAATTTAAATGGACATGAAGGGCACCCGATATGCCTAATATTACTAAATTATTGGTTGAGCCTTTTAACCATTTGGTCATCCAAGGATCTTGGTACAGGGACTCTGGGGCTACCAACTAGCTCTCTATGGAATTAGGGTAAAGGGAGGATGAGTCCAGTGAGCCAGTGTGTGCCCCTGTGCTAGGCTGGTGGTGGAAGGGGATGCTATTTATAAATATAGCATATGATGAATTCGGGGAAACTTGGTGATGCAATTCTCCCCCCTCCCTTCCCTCCTTCTTTCATTTCCTTTCCCTTTTTAAAAAGTAGCACATTTGCATTTAGTGTAAAAATAACAGATGTCTTATGGAGACTAATTTGAGTGCCATGATTGTATGATTTTTTTTATATAAAATCAAATTGACTCTTGAAAGAGCAAATTGTCTAAGTTACTCTTAGTCAGTGGTGACTACAAAACCTCTATAAGGCGGGGTAGGGGTAGTAGCACTTTTTGAAGCAGAGTTTTCACGACACTTTACAAGGGAGTGAGAAAATGTCAACTTGCTAAAGAAAAGAGGGAGGGGATGCTTTTTGGGGGGGTTTAAGACACCCAACTTCACTTGATATGGTCACTGCTCTCAGGGATTTACTATTTTTCTCAGTCCATTCCCTCAGCGGACTTTTAATGAGCATCTACGATGTGCTGCAAATATCCAAGCTGAAAAACAGTCCCTGTCCCTGAGACCACCACAACCCAGGGGAGCCAGAGAGCCAGTTGCACAATACCCAGGGCCTCTCAGCACTCAGAAATCAGTTGTCAGAGGTTTCCTCTTAGTTCTGGTTAAAGAGTAGTCCCAGGGATCTGCCAGTTACCACTTAGTGAGTTAAACAGGGGGACCCCTCTTGGCATTCAGTGCTTGGACAAACTCCCCTCCAACAGGCGCGTCCATCTCAGGTCAGCGGAGGGGCTCAGGATGTCTCTTCTCTGGGCCAATCAGAAGCCAGCCAGCCAGCATCTCCTAGATGCAGCCATTCTCATCTTATGGAATGCTTATTTAACCTTAGACCAACTATTTTTATTTGGTTAAAAAAAAAAAGCTGCCATTACTCAAGGCTGACCAGGAATCAAGGCCTCCGCTCTGTGAGTGTGCGCTGGAGCCTGCCCTGACAGTTATTTCCCAGTCAGGGGCGTTTGGGGGCGCGGCTGCAGCCACCGCGCAGAGACCGCAGCCAGGAGAGGTAGAGGTGCCTTCGCGGTGGGAGGCCCCGCTAGGACACACACGCCAGGATCCTCCCAGGCTGCTGGGTAAACCCACGATGCGGCGACGGAGGGTCCCAGAGCGAGGAAGATGGATCAGGTCCGCCTCTCGCACTTAGTCCAGCAGGAGTGGCGGGGTGTGGGCTGAGGGTAGCGCCAGGGCCTTTGAATGGGGTGTCCCCTACTCCGGAGAGGGTCTCTCCCTGCGTGAGGGGTGTGGACCCGGTTCGCACAGTCCTCAGCTGTGCCTGAGCAAGGACCCCGCCATCTCCCCTCCTACCCTTCCCTGGTGTGACCACTTTCGATCCCGCTCCAGACAAAGGCAATCTAAACTCCGGCAGAACGAATGAGGGGATCAGGTTGCTCTCTAGGTTTCCCCTCACCACCACCCCTCCCCGCATTCCCCCTTCCCCACGTGACTCTTTGGAATCTTTGCCAAAGCTCCGTGTCCCTGGGTCCATTTTCACGCCCAGCACGGGAGAGAGGAGGGAGGGGAGGGAGGCGGAGCGTGTCTCTTACACGCGGGTATCCAAAGGGGGCCTTATTTTGTGCGTCTCCGGGCTCTCGGGTGTGAGTGGCATTGAGTTCGGGGGTTCTTTCCAGCCCCTGTAGCTCTTTCCTCCGCGCATTGACAATTATGGCTCCTCCTCCACTGCCATGAGCACACCTCGACCCCGCAGACCAGCTCCGCGGCGTTCAGTGCGGAGGTA